TCTCTCTACATCCTGGACCAAAAGGCTCTGTCAGAGTCAGCTCTGGATCTCACCAGGATTCAATTGTGGTACCTGTGGTGGATGCATGTAACCAGAACCATTTTCCATTTGTTCTCGTGGGTGCAATTCCTCTGTCGCACTGGGGAGCACAGCCAGGGCAGCCCCAGCACAGCACAGTCACAGTCACAGTCAGGCTGCTTTTTTTAGCCACTGAAGTGATTCCAGCAATTTTCTTAATAAAACACAGAGAATTAGGATAGTTTCCCATTACCTTTTCCCAGTCCATAATCAAGTCTGACAGTGTAAATTGTTGTAAGGAAACCAGTTTGTTTGGGCAGAGGACATTGCAAAGCCATGGTGGGACATTGGGACAGTTAGCAGCTCTGCATAGCTGCATTCAGCTCTTCAAACAAATCCTCCAGAAAGGAAGGGATACTTACCTGGTGTCACAGAACCATTCTCTGATTTGAAAAACATCATATGAAGATAATATTCAAAGCTATTCTTACCCTTCCCTTATTTCAGGGAAGCCCATGGCCTATCTGAGCTCATTTTGCTGAGCAACGTGAAACTGCCACTCTAAAAAGTGACCCAAATACTCAAACAAATGAAACCTTGAGAAAAATTCTGTATCTCACCTTTTATTTTGTTCATTTACACTTCTGGCACTGACAATTCTTTGAAGATATTTATTTTTATGTAAAGACCAAACTTCATTAAAGCAATTATAAGTCAATTAAATAATTTTACATCACTTAAGTTTCAGAAAATGTACAACACTTTCATACATTATAGGCTTGACTGGTTGGAAATGGAAATGGCACATGTTTGACATGGTTAAGAAATTACTTGGACAACCCAGCAAATTGTTTTGCCAAAACCTGTTTTGTGCTGAATACCATAACCCATGCCCAGGGATTACAGTGTGCCTGATGGCACCATTTTCACATTATTCAGCATGGAATTATTACTATCATCTTGGTCCCCAGTAATGTCTCAAATATTCTACATGGCATTTGTCACACAAAGATCCGGTTAACCATTTTGTAGAGGAGTGAGATTCACAATGGAAAGCAGAGACATGACTCGTGCCACTTCCCAGCGAGGTCCCGGACCAGCAGGACACTGAGCACATGGAGAATATCAAGCACATGAAAAATCCTGTCAGATTCACGGGGACTCTTGGGACACTGGAAATCAAACAGATGGCAGGCGTGCACTAGGCAGGGCCTGCAGTGTAACACAGCATCCCAGCACCATGAAACCATCTCGTTCCACACCTGCTGAGGATCCATGAAGTTTCTCTTACAGAAGTCACGATGATGGTCATACATTCAATCCTCTCCAAAGTCTGTGTAATGTTTAAGGCAGCAAGAGAAATTTGCCTTTTTTTTAACACTTCAGAAACAGATGGTTCCTTTAGAAATAGGTGGACAATATTCATAATTCATCAGTATGCTCCTTATTTATATAAATGTGATGAAAGGCCAAAGCAAATTCTGACAAAATTTTTCTCAACAAAATCAAGGAGTGTAACTGAACTGGAGTTGAAGCTTTAAAATTACATGTGCCAGATGATTCACATGTAACATACTGTCTAGGACAATGTGAAAAAGCAGAGATTTAGATGAAGTCTGTATTCTTGAGGCCTGACTGTTGTCAAACTTCCCCTGGCATGAGTGAGTTCTACTGAAGCCAATGAGTGAGCACCTCTGATGAGAGGTGTGAGTAAGGTTAAAAACATGCCGCTGGTTCACACTAACAGGTCATTGTGGCTAAAGTATATTCTCATATACAGAACTCTGCAACACTATTAACACCCATTTACAAAACACTACAGTGATGGTTATTGGCACATAAAAAACTCTTTCTCTATATGAAAACATACACAAAATAGATAAGAACTGCCTTTTTTCCCCCCAGACTTTTAAAATCTATATATAGTTGCCTTTGAGGAATTTTAACCCCCAGTATCACAAACAACAATATTTCTTTAACAATGTTCACCTAGAATTTTACTGTGCTGACATTTGTAACACTGCCACAATCTAGACCACTTGTGGATTATGCTTAACTGTACTGTACACAAGGTGATGGAAGATTGATAGAAAACCACTAAGATTTTTGCACAAAATTATGACTTGTTAAAATCCAGAGAACAATTGAGTCACTTTATAGGCAGCAGCTACATGTAAGCTGTAAATGTTACCCGCAATAAAAACACATTTTGCCATAAAGCACATATTGTGGCATTATCTGCTTCTGGCCTGGTACACGAAGATGATTTTCTTCCCAATGCAGAGGAATGGGTTTGGTTAGCTTGATTCTCTCACAAAAAAAAGTGCATGCATATCTTAGTCTTTAAAGTGCTTTGCAGAAACGTCTCTTCTGCCTTGATCTCTATCCCAAGATCATTCTCTGCTGTAAAGATTCTGCCTCTTTTGCAGTAGTGATGTTCAGCCAACAAAGCCCCTTACGCACGTAAAGTTTCAAGACAACCATGTTAGAAGAGCATCAATGAGAAGTAGAAAGCTGGGTAAAAAGCAGAGAAGTACAGGGTCTGTCTTTTCCTTGCCCACTGAATGCCTGTGGGACTGCACCCAGCACTCCCATGGCCTAAGACAAGACCCCTGCTCAGGGTCTGTGGCAGCCCCTGAAGGTCAAAACTTCTCCTCAGTGCTCAGCCCAAGCGACTGTGAATGGCAAAAGAGATTTCACCATAGAAAAGCATACTAGCTTTGCCAACTCCACTGCCACGTCCTCACCTCCACACAGGCACGGGAGAGCAACACTAGAGTGCTTCTTCCCCTACAGCCCCTCCATTCCTATCCACAGGACCAAGCACAGTCCCTCGCCCCATCATCCTCACCCCACAAGGGAGACAAGCCATAGACTGCTCCTGCTGGCTACAACACCCATCTCCACTGAAACTTGACTTTATGGTGCCTTTGATGCATCATTTCCTTCTTCTCCCCTCCCAACCCTAACTCCTACATGAGTAAATTGCAGCATTATCAACCCATGCAAAAAATCAGTTAGTGTTGGAATAACGGTCCTTTGTGATTTATCCATTCTTGCCCCACAGTATCTGCCAGCATTGTCACTGCACCTCCCAAGACAATGTCTACAAGAGTGGCCGATGCAAGGTGCCTACACAGCAATGCAACTCCAGCCCTCCAAATGACTCCTGAGCCTTGCTTTGACTATTTTCAAAACAGGTTTGGTTCTCTTGTTAAAAGATTATTTTGATCAACAAAGTGACAAGGGGAAGAAAAAAGTGCCAAATTATTACTCAGCATGATCAAAAAAATACTACATGCAAATTAACATGAATTAAAGTTAAAAATATTAAAAATGCACCAGGACTTGTTTCTTTTATAGTTGGTGTTAACCACCTATAGTTGGTTACACTACAGTGCTAGTGGTCTAGCACTCCTGATGCACAGAATACCTGAATTAAGTGTGCAGTCCTTGTGAAGAAACAATTTCACATCTTCTGCAAAAAGCTCTGAATATAAGAATATTGTGCTTAGACACATTATTTATACTACTTCATAAATGAAAATCTTGTAATAAGAAATTATTCAGTTACACTGTATTTTGATTCCTCTATCTGGAATGTTACTAAGTCTACCTTTAGCAAAAATCTCTTAAAACTTAAAATATTCATAAATATAAAAAATATTTGCAAAATAAAAACATATTTCTAGTTTTCTTCTTAAACTCTAAATGTTCACAGATTCTAAAAATAAAACCCTAACAGCATAAGATTAATTTGAAGTATCTGTTCTCATTTTTAATACACATGATGCTTGGTACTATCTTCAGTGTTTTTAAGGTATGGAATGCTGTCTTGGCATGAAGAAACCCTAAAAGGAAGACTTAAACCCTGCTTTCTGTGGACACAGAACAGGGTGGGACAATAAAGAAGCCAATGTATTTTGTACCCTCATAGCCAGTAGCAGTGAGGAATAAAATGCATGTTTCAGTCACTGAGTCTTGTGAGAAAGGACAGGGGATACAAACCTTGAGAAAAGCGTTTTCAGTAGGACTGAACCTGTGTGAGAAAACGAGCCCAGTGCTGTACCCGACTGAGCGTCCCTTTGGGAAGGTCCATGTGAAACAAGGCTGGCAGAGAGAGACGGTCTTCTGCTGCTAAAAAGCCCCAGCACTGCCTGCAAAACAGAAGAGGCTGCTGACCCGTGACAGTGACCTTTCCAGTGACTTCACTGCAGTTATGCCCCATACCTGCAGCATTCCTCTCCCTGGGGACACAAGTGTGAGGTCAGTGCTGACATGGGGCTGGCGCTGGGACGCCGGGTCCAGCCTCACCCCTGCTCCAGCAAAACACACTAAGCAAAGGAACGTTCACAGGTGTGAAGGTGAGTGTGGGCTCCTGCTTTTGGGGCCATCACAACCCTAAGCCTCCATCCCCAGAAGCCAGTAAATACCCACTTAAACCTATGAACTGTGTAAACACATGTTGGCTGTTACACATCTATTCAAACACTGCTCTAGGTAACAAAACTGCCTCCAATATAGGTCTTCAAACACAATTTTTGGTTTCAGAAAAAAGTTAATTTCTCCTTGAAACAATTTTGTTCTTCTCTGTGCCAAGTATCTCTTTTTCTCATTTTAGGTACTGCACCTTCAGTGAAGGCTTCAAAGAGCTGAAAGCAGAAAGGAGACATCCCACGGTGGGGGCATTTGTAGAGAGGTTTGAGGACCTCAGCATTTTCAACAGATAGATCTGGAGATCTCAGCATTTTCTACAGCTGGTGCTTTCAAGCATAAAAATATTGTGCGCTTAAAAGGGAGGCAAGATGGAAGGCATGAGAATCCAGTCCTCTCACTGCACAGAAGACGTTCAAGGTCAAGCTGCTCTTTGCAAAGATTCATTTGACATTCCCTCTGTCTACTATGTTTTTCCCTTTTAGCCCAGTCAAGTCACAGAAGAATTCCTTAAAAAGATTTCTTTCCAAAAATATTTCTCTCATTAACAGAAAAGAAAAAAGAAAAGAAACCAAAATACACCCAATCCCTGAAGGTCAATAATTGGAGAATAAGAACTCCCTCCACAGAATATTAGATAACATAATGTCAGACTTCTTTACAACAACAAAATCCCATTTTATCCAATAAAAATAATTTAGTAACACATGTCCAGGCTTGGTTTTGATAGCAATCCAACATGAGAAATATTTTTCAACCCAAGAAAAACCCACAAACCAAATCTATAAAAGCTAATGAACCTAATGACTTCTTTAATCTTTACACAATGAAAAATAAATGTATTTTTTACCAAATAAAGGGGTGTCAGCCCACAGGCAGAGGAATTTTTCCACATTCTTTCATGAAGCAAATGTTTCAAAGATAAGAATTTGAATTGTTGCTGTTTTCAAACTCATATCTTTGAAGACTTAAAGCAGTGAGGACAGGACAAAGGAAAAAAAACCCATAATATTTTTATGTAGCTGCATAAAATTCAATTTGCCAAGGCAAGCAATCATGGCAGGTGAATAAAATACCATTCATATTTTCATTACCATGCTAAAGGCAGCCAAGTTAGTTTTGTGCCTGACATTTTCTTGACAAGTTTGCAATGCTTTGGTAAGGCAATTAATATGAGATGCAGGCTTCTGCCCATGGCTAATATTTCTCTTTAGGTCCAGCAAGACACCAATTGACTAAGGAAATTTGAAGGAAAATGTGCTGGGAGTCATTTGCTCTGCACATATGGAGATAAACTGAAGGCAATAATTATTCACAAGCAAAAGGCGCAGGAGGGATGACCACTGTGCATTTAGCAGCACAAACTCTCTGCCCTCTTTCACTTTCTTTTAGCTAATGGTATTTTTGTGTTCAAAACTAGGCACAAACCAATATGTTCAAATGCTAAAAAGGAAAAGAAATAGATTTTTCTTTTAAACTGAAGCCTCTATGTTGTATCTAGGAATATATACCAGCACATTTGTACGTGTGGCCACGTACTGAGCTCTGTTTTCCTGCTATCAGTAATTAATTTTGCCAGCTTTTCTCACAAACATAAACTCCCAACTGCAGTGTACTCAGGAGCAGCAGTGAGTGGATAACCCGGTGTAGCACAGATACACACCACCCTAGTGAACCCCCATCCAGGTGAGTATGGCTCTCTACTTGCTATCTCAAATAAATAATGGAAATTCTCTTTGGGTAAATTTGGGAAATGTCCCTCTGATAGATACAGCAGGTATTTGTGTTTTCCCCGATCAGTTAAACCTTTTAAATGGTTACTGTTAGAGCAGATAATGCATTCATCCTTTGTTATACTGCACAGCAGAGCTTCTTCCTTGGCTCCTATGGGATGGGGATCCAACAGCTGCCAGCTGCTTTCTCATCAGCCACTTGATTATTTTAGGTTTTGTCAGTATTGGAGTATTGGACAGCCCCTGACCAACTAGGATAGTCTTCTGTATTCATCTGGTACAGTGCACCCTACTAAACATCTGGGGATGGTGCAGTGACACACACACTTGGTACAGCCACATAATTGTGGAATTCAATCTCTATTGGAAGCCATTGCTTTTAGTTATCAAGAAAATGCTAGCATATTGAATTTCCTCCCAAATGGAGCATTTTTGAACATGAAGGCATTTTTAAATACATAGTAGAAAGGAGAACCAGACCAGAAGCAGGGCAGTGAGGTCATCAGAGAGCTGCTTTTCCCCCAGAAGGCTTTTAAATGATTAAATACATCAGCAGCTGAAAATTATTCCACATCAGAAGCATCATTGTCAGAAAGATGATAATTACTTCCCTTCACCCGAATATACTCGATGTACCTCCCTTCATCTGAATCTGACATACCACATGTACATAGCCTGTTTTCAAACAAAGATTCAATTTCCTCCAGTTTTTTCCCTTTAGTCTCAGGAAGGCAGCCATAGATGAAAACCAGTCCCAAGGCAGCAAACCCTGCGTAGAGGAAGAAGGCTCCTGCAATGTAAAATCAGTCACAGTCAGTCACAGAGCTTCCCATCCCTCCTCTGTGCCAGAGCAGAGGGAGTGACAGAAGCAGCAAAGGAGAGTGTAAAAGCAAAGACTGGAGTGGCAGGGTTACAACAATGAGCTGTGGGGCTGTGGGTGTAGGAGAAGGACTCTTTCTTGCCCCGTTCCTCAGCAAAGTGAATTGACAAAGGCAATTCCAATTCACGTGAAAGATAACACACATGCTTTCTGGCAAGTGGCTCTGGTCTTAAAATAAATAGCAATTAGACAATCACATGCACAAATTAAAAAAAAAAGCAGATGTGAAAGGAAAGAGCTTTCTTGGTTTGTCTTGACAGTGAAGGACACATTAAGACAAGTCCTCAAAACAAAAAGCTCTAGCAAAAGAAATGAGTCAGGATTAAAATAATGTTTGTGAATTATACACTAATTATTATTTAAAAGTGGTAAAAATTAATACTGAGAAAGAGCTTGTTCCTGCCCACAATCCACCATACCTAGAGGGGCAGAGCAGGTACCAAAGGACCAATAAACATTTACCTAGTGTTGCTACACTGATGGCTCATAGGAATAACAAGTAGAGCTGGAAGGCACTGCACTAGTAAGGATGTGAAGGTCACATCAACTCCCTGGCAGATTAATGTGATTTAAAAGACTTGTACTGGAGTGGGTGAGCAGTAACCAGATAAACACTCCACAGGCTCCCACAGACAGCACTTTATCAACAGCTGTATTTCTGCAAGCACCATCTGATACTGGCCCTGGATGTCACCATAAACTGGAAAACTGCAGATGCTGTCACCTGAAGTGGGAGCCAGTATTATTTCATTAAATCAAAAGTGGCTTTTTTCCAGCTTCTCTGTTTTAATCAACTGTCTAGGTTCTCAGTTAAGGACAAAAATAAATATTTCTTATGAAATCCAGACTAAACTCTATGATCCAAGCAGGTTGTATTAGATCTCTAGTCTTACAAAACCACAATGGGTTGAGAACACTGCTTTGACACTTCATAGGAAAACCAGTGGAGGGACCCAGAATCCAGAGAAAATCTCTGTGCCAATGGCAGTACTGCACATATGGACAGGTACTGTTACTCACCATAGTATGTCAGGTATTCAGCTGTATGCAGAAATGTCAGTGACACGAGCACATTGAAAACCCAGTTGACTCCAGAAGAGCACGCGTTTCCTGTACTTCTAGCCCAAAGTGGATAAATTTCAGAATTCACAGTCCAGGGCATAGGACCCATCCCTAAGAGTTAGGAATGAAAGGATCAATCTCACTTTAATGGCTGGACTCAAAATTAGATTTAACATGTAGCTTCTCTATTTGACATTTTAAACTTATATGCAAGAACAAGTATTTCTTACCAGGTGCAAAGAAAACCAAATACAAAATAAGGCCCAGAAGTGCTGTCCAAGAGTATGGAGTGGGGCAGAAATTGTATGCCCAAAATAAATCTTCCTTTTTGAATACGGTTTCATTTGAACACCTGAAAATCAAGAAAACTCCTTTTTATTAAAGAATTTTCAAGGCAATCGCTGACATTGCAATATAAACATGGCAAGTAATGTCTTAATAAAAACTGGCCAGTGTACAAGATAAAAAAACTGAATCTCTGTAAATTTATTGAGATCTTTGAGCAAAGTTCTACATTCAGAAACATTTTTTTTCTCAAACTGGTCTTAGGAAGAGTAATAAGCAGAACATTCCTGACTTTAAATACTTGCCTTGTATTTACAGATCTTTTTCAAGCAACCAGTCTTTACTACAGAAGTGGTGATATCAAAGCCAACAAGCCCAATTCACAGGAATATCACACAGTGCAAAAACAGCTGCAGCAGCAGGACTTTGAGCTCAAGATGCTGTACACAAGGATTTAAGGTCAGGTGGAAGTGAGTCCTTACACCACTGCTGAACCAACTACATGCAGCACACTTCAGGTGTAATCAGCAGTGTCTATGGAATGTGCCAAGGTCAAGTGAAGTCATGAAGAAAAGAGGTGTGTATTTCCTTCCTACACAGTGAAATAGTTTAGGAGAAGGTAGAGCTTGTAATTAGCTACCAAAAGAAAATATGCCTCCATTCCAAGGACCATGTGGGAATTCCATATTTCAAGGAACAGGTATAAGATCAGGTATTTCCCCTGACAGCCAACAATATAACATTTTTTAAAGGCATACTGGCAACTTTATTTTTTGTTGTAATTTTTTAAAAAATTAACATTTGCTTAAAGGAACAAGTCATATATGTAACTAGTGAAACTTTTCAGCTGCCACCACATCCTAGAGATAAAAACCATCCTAGAGATAAAAACCCTGTACTTTCAGGAGAGAAGACTTAAGCAGACACTACTCTTTCATATGCAAACAATGTTATTTACTTGCAAAGAAGAAATCTCAGAGAGCTGAACATCTGCCTGGGTTATGATTTCCAAATCAGTTGAGCACTTCTGTGAAGGATACAATCCTCTTGACAGTAGGAAAAACAGAATGAAAACGTCTGTAATGGGCAATAGGTGGGCAACAAGTTGTGGATGGTGGAGTAACAGCCACCCTGCAATGCTTCAGAGTTGAACAGCAATGTGCTAAGCACTGATGACCAAACCACCAGCAATCCTGGGGCAGAAATCTTCCCTATGTCATCATTGATGAAAGGACAACATTTAAAGCAAGATATCATGGTGAAGTCCCAGATCCAATTTCAGGACAGCTGGAAATCCAAAGCTCCAAAATATTTAAAAGAGAGAGGTTAACCCTACAAATACTGTGAAAATGCATGTCTGAAACCTTGGTAAAACCCTAATGCTTCCTTAATGGCAATAACCTGTAAGATTTGCACTTCCACTTTGCACTTGAGCAGCACCTGATCAAATGGAGAAATGCTGAGCCCTTAATTTGGGGTTGGCAATGCAGCCAGTGCCAGTGTACACCTTTCTACCCTTCCATAGCTCTGCCTTGCTGAGTTCCCTGGAAAAGCCATCTCATCTAGGGCATTGATTAATTATCACACTTGAGATGGAAAACACATAGAAAACACATCAGCTGAACATCCCTCTCAAAGACACATCCTTTGTGCCTGGATACAGACTGGCCCACTGCAAGAACACATGAGTGCTCAGTTTCACACTGCTTTAACATCACCATTTTTGCTTATTTTGCTGTTCTGCAAATTTCATTTGCAGGTGTTTGTAATGAATACAAGCTGATGAGCACTTTTAAGCATCTTGATGCTGAGATGAATTCCTCCGTTCTGCCCAGCCAGATTGGCAGCTCTGCAGAGAGGCCTCACGCTTTCTCTCAAGCAAAACTGCAAACAAAGACATGCTTGGTCTATTATCCTGCATCCATCTTCATGAGCACAAACCAACATGCTGATTCATGCAGACACAACTGCAGGCAGGTCAGCGTGTTTCCTTCCCCTGACATCTTTCCCCAGTTGTGTCCCACTTTTGACAGAGTGGAACACAAATGATACAAGGGAAAACCAGATGTGTCCAAAGCCTCCTGTGACTGAGGCCACTTATCTATTCTCAGCTGTCTGTTCCTAACTGAGAGGAAATTTTGTTGCAAAAAAAGCAGATTCAGTGCAATGAAATGTGAAAAACAGCACTGGAGAATAGATTAAATAGAAACCCAGCAGTAATAAACTGTGCTTTGCTTATCCTTCAGTTGTAAACCAGCATGGTACCCATAGTAAAAGCAAAGACATCTGCATTTGCTGGCATCTTGTAGTGCTGGGAACGTTAAAAAATAAAACTCCTTCAAGGCTGGAGATTTGTTCAAGCTCTATTACTATGCTAATTCTACTACTACCACTGTTCCTATAAGACCTATTATTTTACTGAAGAACATATTTATAATTAGCATACAGTTTATTACCAGACAAAATTCTGAATTTTGCCCTGCATGAAGGGAGCATATATGACAGAGGCAGAGGAGCAGCTACCTATCCCTTCACAAGCTGAAACACAGAAGAAAATCAAAGAATCATAGAATGGTGTGATCTGAAAGGGACCGTAAGGATCATCAAGTTCCAACCCCGTCTTCCATGGGTAGGGACACCTTTTACTAGATCAGGTTACTCAGAGCACCTTCTAAACTTCCAGGGATAAGGCATCCACAGTTTCTCTGGGCAGCCTATTCCACAGCATGATAACATCCCTGATGATGATCTGGATGTGGGAACTGAGTGCAACCTCAGTAAATTTACAGACAACACCAAGTTGGGTGAGAGTGTTGATCTGCTCGAGTGTAGGAAAGCTCTGCAGAGAGACCTAGACAGACTTGAACAACGGGCTGAGGAAAAAACTGCAGGAAGTTCACAAAAGGCCAAATGCTGGGTCCTGCACTTGTGTCCCAGCAACCCCATGCAGTGCTACAGGCTGGGGCAGGAGTGGCTCAAGAGCTGTTTTGCAGAAAGGGACTTGGGTGTGCTGGTCAACAGTGGGCTCAATATGAGCCAGCAAGTGCCTAGGTAGCCAAGAAGGCCAATGACATCTTGGCCTGTATCAAGAATATTGTGGCCAGCAGGAGCAGGGCAGTGATCATCCCACTGTACTCAGCACTGTACTGCACCTCAAATCCTGTGTTCAGTTCTGGGATCATCACTTTAAAGAGGATACAGAGGTGCTGGAGCATGTCCAGCCAAGGCCAACAAGGCCCATGAATGGCTTAGGAAACAGATCTTATGAGTAATGGCTGAGGAGCTGGGTTTGTTCAGTCTCGAGGAGAGGCAGGGGGCATCTCACTGCTGTCTGCAACTATCCAAAAAGAGATTGTTGTTAGACAAGGGCTGCTCTCTTCTACAGTGACTGAAGTAAGAGAAGCAGATTAAATGGCCTTATGCTGAAACAGGGGAGATTCAGGTTAGATATTAGAAGAAGTTCTTTCCCTGTAAGGGTGGTCAGGCATTGGAATAGGTTGCCCAGAGAGTGCTGGTGTCACCATCCCTGGAGGTGTTTAAGAGGCTGCGTGATGCGCTTTAGTGGTTACAGTGGTAGTGCTGGGCTGATGTCAGACTTGATCTTAAAGGGCTCTTCCAACCTTGATGATTCTGTGGTTCTGTGAGGTTCACATGGGCCCAGCTCTCAATCCTGTCCCTCTGGATGACATTCCTTCCTCCCAGGGTGTTGACAGCACCACAAAGCTTGGTGGTGTCTGCAAACGTGCTGAGGGCACACTCGATCCCGCTGTCCCTGTCACCAACAAAGATCTTAAACAGCCCCAGTTCCAGTATTGACTCCTGAGGAATGCCACTTATCCCTGGTGCTCACCTGGTCATTAAATTGTTGACTGCAACACTTTGAGTGACCATCCAGGCAATTCCCTGTAAATGGCACAAGTGAAATGATGCAGTCAGGTACTGATGCAAAGAGTTTGTATGTTCCAATATGCTGGGTAATAGTCACATTGGTACAACCAGTGGGGACACACCACATCATAGCCTCTGAAATTACTGCCAAACCAAAAATGTGAAAATGCCACACTGAAAACCTTTAATGTGAATTTCTTTGGCTATGTGTTTTCTACAGGCTACTTAAGACGAACATCAGTTCTGATTAGTGAAAGTCTGACCTACCAACAATTGATGCAAAAAATTCAACTGACTGGGAATAAATGAGAAGATCGGTAGACTTTCAAATTACAAGCATTATATGGTCAATTTCAGAATCACAGAATCCATCCTCTATCAGATATGGTCTGAAGCTCAAAAGAGCTAAAGCTTTGCTCCCCATCTCCTTAAATTACCTTCATATGGCACATAAAAGAAGGTAAGAAAAGAGCCAGTGTGGGGAGTCTAAAATATTATTGCGAAGGAGGATGGATGAAACAGGATAAAACCATTTCCATGATAATCAATGTAAATTTTCCTAATACTCGAGCCATTTTGGCTGTACAATAATTCTGAAGAACATTGAAAACCCCAGTGTGAGAAATGGCTGGGCAAGACACAGCATAGGCACAAGGCAGACTAATTTGATTTTCTTCTCAAATATCCATTAATTTTTGCTTTGCTGAATAGTGAGGACTGTCTAGCCCTAAAGATACAGCTTTTGTGTGAATTGTTTCATTGTGAACATATTCACATATATTTAATATATTTTTAATATGAAAGCTGCCGACTTCTCATTATCTTTTAAGCCCTTCAGAAGCATCTTAAATGGATTTAGATAAAAAATATTAAAAGATCAAAATTTAAATCAATTTAAGCAAAGGAAATTACTTCTGAAGACAAACACTAATGTGATCGTCCGTCTCTGTAAAATGCTTGTTAGAACAAGCATATTTAAAATTACACATTTCACTCTGAGATAAACTTTGACAAATCAGGTACTGATGACACAGAAAGATTTTATAGTTAATTCAGTTTCACTAATCCCCCATTTCTTTGTTCTAGCACAAGTAAAACTACTTAAGGACTGCTGTTATGCCAGCCTTTTGTGCCTGGTTTATCAGGATGATGATAATCTACAATTTAAGTCTCAAGGGT